TGTGGTCAAGGTATGTATGGCCATTAGGTTCCTTCCTCCTCTGGCTTGGGGAGAGGGGAGGTCTCTTATAGGGAGAGTGCCCCACCTAGTATTTGTTGGTTGACTTTGGCTGATCATGAGGAACAGGGTCCATCGGTCCTTTTAGTTAGGTGTAACTGAAATATAAACAAAGGGCGCCACCATCTGAGTGTTGAAATGTATTTAAAAAGCATAAAGAATGATATATATGCACTCACATATAGTAGTGAAAAACAGGCACATCATCTCTCCATGCCTGTTTTTAACTTCTATATGTGGGTGTATATATATACATATATCTATATCTATATATATATATATAAATACATATATAAATATATATATCATTCTTTGTTTTTTTTTAAATAAATTGCTACACTCAGATGGTGGCGCCCTTTGTTTATATTTCATTTACACCTAACCAAAAGGACCGATGGACCCTGTTCCTCATGATCAGCCAAAGCCAACCAACAAATACTGGGTGGAGCACTGTGCCTGTAAGATACCCCCCCCCCCCCCAAGGCAGAGGAGGAAGGAACCTAATGGCCATGCATCCTCCTCCTATACCTAGACAGCCACATTGATATGTTTCATTAACCTGAGTTGATTATCCCTAAGGTAGAACTATCTTCTTTGATAAGCTCATAAATTCCAGGTGCCCCACCACTGCCCCTTTGACAACATTGGAGGATTCACCTAGATCCTATATAAGGAAGTCTCAACCAATCTCTGTGTTTTTTTATTGGACTTACTGGACTTTATTTGGATTCCTAAAAGGGGCCAACCTCCTTTTACACTACATTGTGCCATTATTTATTTTATTATCTTTTGGTTAGGTGGACCCAAGTATGCCTTGCCCCCGGAGGGGGGGGGGCAGACTCTTCCTTGTCGGGAGGGACTAAGACACACCTGAATGCACTTTGTGTGTGTGTTCAAATGCACTTTTTGGGTTCCCTTTGATGTTTTGTTTTTGAGCAATGCACTGCGGGCTTGGAAAAAAAAAAAAAGAAATAAGATTGCATCAATATGGCAAAAGGTCAAATTATAAAGAATTTCCCTGGCACATGGGATGGGTTCCTAAAAAGTTAATTTTATTTCTATTCAACAGGCCAAAAAAAAATGTAGACTACATTCCCCTGATTAAACAAAATGGGCAAACTTATTTATAATTACAACATTACAAAAAAAAAAAAAAATTATAATTTGAGGTTTATTGTTTTAGGACTTTTTGTGCGGTTACTTTCAGGATATGTAAATTCACGGAGCAGTTAATTCCCCTTCATAGCAATATTTGGCTCTTGCATCATATTGAAAAAAAGCGTTAAAGATTTAGTTATCAAAAAAGTCCTGGGCCCTTATACAGGCTTCCTCTGTACGGTGTGCCTATCTATTTACGAACTGTACAGACACATTGCAAGAATACATCATGGAAAATAAGTTAAGTTTAAATAAGGAGGGGTGGGCGGGGAGGGGGGGAGGTCCAAAACAAGAGACACAAGTTCTAACTAGAAAATGGCTATTGTATATACACATTATTGACCCCGGTACAGAAACTCTACTCTCTTCCTGATTTTCAACACTTTTTTATTTCCCTTAAAAGCAGAACATACTTTTTTTCAATGCAAAAACTCTGAAATTGCTAATTAAAATAATGCATGCATGCACACTTGCAGGGCTAGTCGTCCTGTGAAACTGCTCTGTTGGAATGGGTGCCAAATCAAATGTTGCTAGGCTATTTTCTCTCCAGGTCGAATGTTATTCATTCATACAGAGTAGAGCCAAAGTGGTACCCTCCACCCACCCATGTTTTTTTGCCTCTTTAACTGGAGTGTTGTGTTCTTTTCAAAACACATACTCACCCACACAATGCCCTGCACCACTACCCTTTACTTATTACAGGTACTTGTAAAGCATCATCAATTTATGTAGCACTATATATATATATATATATATATATATATATATATATATATATATATATATATATATATATATATTACATTCACATCAGTCCTTAACCCTCAAGGAGCGTACAAGGTCCCTATCTCACATTCATGCATACACATACTAGGGCCAATTTACCTACCAGCATGTCTTTGGAGTGTAGGAGGCACAGGGAGAACATGCAAACTCCAGGCAGGCAGTGCCGTGGTTGGGATTCAAACCAATGACCCTAGTACTGCCAGGCGGAAGTGCTAAACAAACATTTAGAAAGTGTGCTGCCCATGTCAGCACTCTTCAACTGGCTGGCTCTTCCGGGTGAAGGCTCCCCACAGGCTGCTCTGTGTGCTGGAACTGCAGCCTCCTGAGAAATGTGATGTAAGCATCCCAGGAGGTTGCAGGACCAGGTACATGTAATTCTGGCCTAGACTGGAATGGCAGTAGGGAGCGGAACTAAAAAGAAATACATTAAAACATTTCCAAAGGGCAAACAGAACTAACTTCCTTTTGGGAGTTAGGTTCTGCTTTATACTGGAAAAAAATTGCATAATGGCCACTCGATGGAGCTAATGATCAAAGGAAATAAATAATTACTATGATCATCAGCACCGACTAGTGATCGTAATGCAGTAGTTTCCCAAACCTCTATTTTTTAATAGACAACATATAATATAAGCGTATTATATTTAATATTGCTATATCAAAATATTAGGCAAGGCTGTCTTTTATGGATATTCTTTTAGATGGCCCTTGGCTGTGGAACCTTGTAAGATGTGTTAGACATTAGGTGTGATATCTAATGACATTTTTTTTAACTGTAACGGTTCTTGTTTTGTGGTGAAAATAACAATAAAAAATTAAATAAAGATATCGAAATAAAAAAAAAAAATAACATTCAACCTGTAGAGAAAATAGCCTAGTAACATTCCATTTTGCCCCCATTCGCTCAGAGCACGTAGTTATACAGACAGCTAAGTGTCTTGGGACTATTCCAGAAGATCGCCAAGCTGCTTTGCAGGCCTAGAGAAGGACCTGAAATTCTACATGACCCTTAGGCTTGAGCTTTGCATGCTGGACAGCCCAGAGGATATAGATTTCCTACATTTTCAGGCCTAGTGCAGGACATGCTATGACCTATTGGCTTGAGCTTTGCAAGCTGTACAGCCAATAGGTGTTAGACTTTCCATGTCTTCAGGCCTAGCGCAGGACCTGAGATTCTCTATGACCTCTTGGCTTGAGCTTTGCAAGCTGCATAGCCCAGAGGTCATAGATTTCCCACACCCTCAGGCCTACAGCAGAACCTGAGATTATCTATGACCTCTTGGCTTGAGTTTTGCAAGCTGCATAGTCCAGAGGTCATAGATTACCAAAACCTACAGGCCTAGCGCAGAACCTGAGATTATCTATGACCTCTTGGCTTGAGCTTTGCAAGCTGCATAGTCCAGAGGTCATAGATTACCCACACCTACAGGCCTAGCGCAGGACATGCTATAACCTCTTGGCTTGAGCTTTGCAAGATGTACGGACAATATGTGTTAGACTTTCCATGTCTTCAGGCCTAGAGCAGGACCTGAGATTCTCTATGACCTCTTGGCTTGAGCTATGCAAGCTGCATAGCACAGAGGTCATAGATTACCCACACATTCAGGCCTACAGCAGGACCTGAGATTATCTATGACCTTTTGGCTGGAGCTTTGCAAGCTGCATAGTCCAGAGGTCATATTTTACTCACACCTTCAGGCCTACAGCAGGACCTGAGATTATCTATAACCTTTTGGCTTGAGCTTTGCAGAGTGCCCAGGCAACAGGTTGTAGACTTTCAAACCTAGTTCAAGACCTGATTTTCTTTATGATTTCTTGACTAAAGCTCTACAGCCTGCACAGCCAGAGAAGGATGATTGGCGAACAGTATAACTAACCTACTGCATTACAGTTTCCCACCAAGAATAAAAATAATCTCTACTGAGAACATCCTGCTTACGTTGAGGAACAGCATCTACAAGATGGCATATGGATAATATAAACTATGGACAATATGAAATATGGATAACCTGATTTTTTTCTATGTCCTCTTGGCTAGAACTTTGCAAGCTGCACAGCCCAGAGGTCGTAAACATTCCACACCTTCACCTAAATTGGCCTAAACTGTGGACAATGTAAAATATGGATAATGCAGGTAACAGATTTTCAAGTATTAATGCATGCAAAATTTTTGACTGACAATTTTTGGGTCTTTGCATTAAAAAAAAAAAATCCTTAATTCTGCTTTAAATGTCTACGTGACACTTCTAGCACAAGACACCATCCCTTATGAAAGAGGCATTTTCTATGGCAATACTAGTTAAGTGCATATCATGCTGCACTAATATAGTGCAATTCTTGCCTTACATACAGCAAAAAAAATGATGTAGGCAACATTAGGAGAGTTAGAGAAAGTAAAAACATGGTCCAATTTACAAGTGGGTACTTGGTCAGAGATAATATAAAATACTGCATTACAGGACACTTTTATTGATGTGTACCGTGGCATAGGAGAGTGACCGGAATTGTGGTCCCATGTTGAAGTCGGGTGGAATATGTATTTTGTAAACTATTTGAATACTGAATGTCTTATATTGTATTATATACAGCAAACCTCATTTTTCCGAGGACAGGCGGGAGATTATCATTTGTTCGGTCGGCCAGCGGCGGATCACACGGCGTAAGTTCATGAGTATTGGTTGGAGAAGGGTTAGGGTGCCCGGTTTAGTTTTATTTTTGGGTCTGTTTGTGTTTACAATTACAGTGACATGGTTTTCACTTCACAATCGAGTCCTCGAGTTCAAGACCGTCCAATGAAGTAGCAGTGAGAACTGTGCTTTAGCTTCCGCCATATTATTGACCGTTACTTTATAAATCAATGTATTCTTTCCTTTTTCCTTAAAGACGTCCCTTTCTTCTCTGAACATTGACTCTTTGTCCCTGTCTGGTCATTTCTGATATACAAGAGATGGAATGTATATTTTGCTTTTGCAGGTTTTTCACAATAATTTTTATTTTTTTTACATGTCCGCATCTCCGTCATAAGCCAGGGTTAGCGGTTTTAGGCGGTTGTTTTGCCTTCTTGGTGGTTTCTTTGGCTTCTTACTGCAAAAAAAAAGAAGAAAAATTAATTTAACAATGAAACATTATTTTATTAAGGCTTCATGAACACTGGCATATTAGGGCTCATTCATACGTGCAGAAAAAATGCGCTTAGAGGAGTACAACATATATAAAGAAATGAGATGTGTGTAACAACATCATAAATCCAAATACAATTGAAAAAATAAAAATGCAATACTAGTTCAACACTAGTATTATGTGTTTGTGAATGCAGCTGTGGGAGTTTTGATTTTGATTCTTGTATGATGCTGAGCACCAAGCACAGTTTTTCTACCTTTTAGTTAACTTGGATTACTGGTCATCATTGCAAAATTCAGAGTATTATTTCCTATACCTAAACGGGCACGAGCAAAGAGTAAATAATTCTACATAGGTGGGTACAAGACATGAGGAAGAGGAGGGAAGGAAGAGGAAGAAAAAAGAAGGAAGGAAGAGGAAGAAAAAAGAAGGAAGGAAGGAAAAGAAGGAAGGAAGGAGAAGAAGAAAAAAGGAAGGAAGGAAGAAGAAAAAAGGAAGGAAGGAAGAAGAAGAAGAAGAAGAAGAAGAAGAAGAAGAAAGAGGAAGAAAGAATAAAAAGAAGAAAGAAGTAGAAAGAAAAAAGAAATTAAGAAAGAAGAAGAAAGAAGAAAAAGGAAGAAAGAAGAAAAAAGTAGAAGAGAGAAACAGAAGAAGAAGAAAGAGAAAGAAGAAGAAGAAAGGAAGAAGAAAAGAGAAGAGAGAAGAAAAAAGAAAGGAAGGAAGAAGAAGGAAGAAAAAGAAGAAGGAAGACGAAACAAGAAAGAAGAAAGTAGGAAGAAGAAAAAAGAAAGGGCAATAAAAAAAGAAAAGAGAAAAAAGAAAGGGAGAAAAAAGAAGGAAGAAAGAAAAGGAAGAAAGAAGAAAAATAAAGGAAGAAAGAAGAAAAGAAAGGAAGAAAGAAGAAGAAAGGAAGAAAGAATAAAGAAGAAGAAGAAAAAGAAGACATAAAATATTAATAAAAATATTAGCCTTATTCTAAACATGCTATGAGCAACATCTTTCATTTAGTTATTTTTTTCTTTTCAATACTTTTCTAAAAGTAAAACCCTCTAAAAAGTCTTATTTTGTATTTTTTATTCTTTTTGTTTTTTTGCATTGTTTTTACTGATGATTGGTGCAGTACCCAATTATAGCCAGCTGGTGGCACTGTTGTAAAGGTTGATTACAGAATATAGTTTCCTTTCTTAGATACAAAGCCGAGTAGAATGAGCGAACATACATTTGGCTTTTATAGGTTTTCTGTTCTAGCTGAAAAATTTAAAAGAATCATTTAATTAAATAAATATAAAGGATTCAATTTCTGACCCATTTCTGAAAATGTTAAGTGCCTGGCTGCCTCTGCTGTCAAAATATTCCCTCCTAGATTGTAAGCTCCAAGGATCAGGGCCCTCCTATCCCTCTTGTATTGAGCTGTATTGTTGCTGTATTGTCTCCCTTTATATTGTAAAGTGCTGAGCAAACTGTTGGCGCCATATAAATCCTGTATAATAATAATAATAATAATAATAATGATCATAATAATATTCTGAGACTCTGGCCTGAAAGAAGCATTAACTACTCCTGGCCTACATATTATCATTATTATTATAAATGATTTATATAGCACCAACAGTTTGTGCAGCGCTGTACAATATAAAGGGAGACAGTACAGTCAGAATACAAGAAGGTTAGGAAGGCCCTGCTCATAAGAGCTTACAATCTAATAGGGTGGTACAGTATATATGCAGTTGTTCCAGGTCAGGGGTTTAGAAATGATTGAAACCTCTGGACTGGCATAACACCCAAGTAGCTAATTTACCGCTTGCTGTCCGCCAACAGCAGTCGTACTGCGAGCGGGCAGCAGCTCCAGGCCAAGCGACATACCTGTACGTGTCCCCTGCAGACCCATGCTGTGCCCAACAGGTTTGCCAGCTGATTTTGGCTGAAATCAGCTAATCAACTTTGGCCAATCACACACAGAGTTCTGTGTTTACAAAAACAAGGAACTCTGTTGAACAGCGATCTGGCTGTTTCTTCTCTCTGCAAACCAGGGAGAAAAAAAACAGCCAGATAGTATAGTAAAAGCAGCACACAGTACACGCTGTTAAGCACACAGTTAACCCCTTTATTACCCCTCGATGTTGACCCGAAACAGTAGCACAGTGACATTGTACAGTATTATATCTGATCAATGTATTTGTGTTGCTAGCCAGCCAGTGTCTGTCAGCGCCAGATTGCCCGCCACACTATCACAGGCATGCTATAAGTCGCTGACCACCGCCATTACTAGTATAGCATCATAGCTGTGTAAATTCCTAATTGGCCTAAATTTATGAAGAAATTTGATTTTCTTGGATATTTTTATAACAGAAAATATAGGGTTTTCTTAAAATGTTTTGGTCCTTCTTTCATGTACTGTATATAATAAAACGCAGCTACACTTGCTGCCAAAGGTCGGAGTGGCGGCCATCTTGGTACCCTTATTTTATACCATTTACTTTAATTCCACATGGATTGTTTTACCAATTTCTGCAATAAAGTACTGCACTACATACCATTTCTGGGCTCCTGTGGTGAGCTATTTTTCCTAGGAGAGGGCCCACCTCCAGTTTGCATTGTGACGGGAGCAGGGGCGGACTGACAACTTATGGGGCCCCCGGGCAATTGGGGATCATGGGGCCCCTGTGTCCTTGCCCAAATTCAAAAAAGCCTATGAAAAAGGTACCAGGGGCATCTCATGGGGCCCCCTACTGACCCCGGGCCCTCGTGCCCGAGTTTCCAAATGGTCAGTCCGCCCCTGGACGGGAGTCACTTGGGTGGGGGGCCCATTCAACACAGCTCACTTTGGAGAGGTGGGGAGACCCTGTCTCAGCTCGCCATATCCCTCTTATAAGTCACCCTGTGCCTGTTAGGGGTACAGGGTGATCTGTCCTAATATTGGGGTGGGGGGTGGCTGATTGTTTAATGCCATGTGGTTACATCCCATTGTTCTATTGTGTGTCTTGCTTGGGAGCAAACTATTATGGGATGTAGGTGTTTATGTGTATTAGCTTAGTGGGGGGTGTCTCCAGCAGCCCTCCCTCCTGATGGGACTGTCTGCTGGTGTGAAGTTTGAATACCTGTGTGTCTCTTGTTGCTAAGTGTAGATTGCCCCACCCTGTGTCCTTATACAGGGAGGGGGGACTGTCCCCTGAGTGTATAAAAAGCCAGTTTGAGTTTCAAATAAAGAGTTCCTTGTTCAGCCAGACTGGTGTCGTCTAGTCTTGTTTGGTTGGCTGTGGTGTCTGTTGTTTGTGTTCGGAGGGGGAAGCAGTATTATAATGGAAGTACCCAAGTGCAGTCTGGGGCTGGTTCCATTACATCCATGTTAGAGGCTTCTGGCTGTTTCCTATGTCCTGATGTGATGTGCATACATGCTGGCAGAGGTGGTGGATTTCCTCACTGGACCATTTCACAGTTTTACCCTTCACCGTAATTACTGTGCCTTGTAGTTCCATGGACACTATTCATTGTTTAGATATGGACTTTATTTATTTTCACTTTATACGTTGCACTTGACTGTTCCACAATATTTATTATTTAATTAATTATTTACTCAGCACTGCACTTTATACCACAATAAAAAAAAAAAACTCAGTGGTGATTAAATACCACCAATAGATAGCTCTCCGTGTGTGAAAGAAATTATATTTATTTGGGTACAGTGTTGCATGACCGCTCAATTGTCAGTTAAATTAGCGCAGTGCTGAATAGCAGAAGATGGCCCGATCATGAAGGGGATAAAACCTTCTGAAGTTGCATGCTAGTCTCATATTGAAAACAAAAAAGGTAATAAATTTATGAGGATTATAAGAATACAACTTCAGAAGTGATGTCATGTATCGTAATATATTCTTTCATTTCTTAGCATGCGTGATCTTGGTCGCTCCATTGTTTTATGGACAAATACTGTAAATACTGTATTGATTAAACTAAAATCGTTTTGTTCTGGTATTATAGAAAAAAAAAGTGTCATGCTTGTCCCCTGTTGTGATGGGCTTTTGAAAGCTGTGTACTAACCAGGGGTGGACTGACCATTTGGAAACTAGGGCACTGCCCGAGGGCCTGGGGACAGTAGGGAACCCCATGAGATGTCCCTGGTACCTTTTTCATAGGCTTTTTTGAGTTTGGGCAAGGGCACAGGGGCCCCATGATCCCCTATTGCCCGGGGGCCCCATGAGTTGTCAGTCCGCCCCTGGTACTAACATTCAGATTATCGGTCGATCGCTTTGAAAGCGGTATTTTTCCTCATGTGTATTTTTTCATCGTGTTTATTAAGTTTTAGGCTAAAGGGGAAGCAGTTGGGGAGGGGCACTAAAAATGTGGCTCAATTGCAGAGTTTTACTGCCCTTCAACTGTTAGTGTGAATGAGCCCTTAGACATCTTTCCCATGAGCAGACCGATCCAGTCTGCCTGTTCGTTTTTCAAGCAGACCTGACCAGATGCCCCATTGTTCTCTATGGAGCAGCGGGTGTAAATGGACATGTGTACACTTGCACCCGCCTGCATCCGATCCGAACCTGTCCATGGGGATCCTTTCCCCATCCATCTGGTTGATCGGATGATAGTTGTATGGAAACGGAGAGGCAGTCCGTTTCCAGCTGGCAGCCCATAGAGGACAGTGGCCTGTGTCCGTGTCTGCTGTGCATAAGCAGAGCGGACACGGACCGGTCATCCACTTGCTCGGCAGGGTTCAGTGGGCAGATTCCCCTCTGAGCACTGAGGGGCGGACTGAGGGCCCGGGGTCAGTAGGGGGCCCCACGAGATGCCCCTGGTACCTTTATCATAGGCTTTTTTTGAGTTTGGGCAAGGACACAGGGGCCCCATGATCCCCTATTGCCCGGGGGCCCCATGAGTTGTCAGTCCACCCCTGGCCCCATCTCAAAGGGGCCTTACACTCAATAGCAAGCAAAAAAAAAAAAAAAAAAACCACAGACATTGCAACATTGTAAAAGATAAACACAATTTGGATAAAAAAGAAATAATGTATATAATAAAAAAAATCAGACTTGCCAGGCCAGATAGATCATTGAAACCACAAATAAGAGCAACACGAAGGCCCCTGCCGCTACCCCGTAGACCCAGGTCTTCAGCTTCCCATCTAGAGAGATCGAATATAAGGTTTTGGTTAGTACAAGGATTTTGTTATCTCAATATCAAAGGACACACAAAGCATAACCCACAACATAAATAAGTACATTGCTAAGTTTTGAATGCCGCAGACTAAAGCCGGCCATTTGTGGATCGAAATTTGGCCGGTTCAGCAGAGACTGACCACATTTCGATGCATGCGTGGGCAGGGAGGTTGCACCAATTGACTTCTGTACAACCACCCTGTCCCCACTTGATCAGCGCTGCTGGCTATAGCAGGCAGCACTAATCAGTGTAGTCTGATGGTGGGAAGGATTCTGCCATCCATAGTGAATTGCAACGTCCACTGGATTTTTAAAACTCCTAGCCAGGTGCTCAAGCTGAACAGGCTTCCATCTACCTCCAGCACTCCAGTGTAACAGCAGAAACGGACTAACTTTATTGTAAGACGATAAAACCTCCAACGCGTTTCAGCCGTTAGATTTTAACCACTTGCCCTCCAGAGGATTTCCCCCCCCCCCCCCCCATTCCTGAACAGGCCATTTTTTTGCGTTACTTTAACTGACAATTGCACGGTCATGCAACTCTGCACCCAAATGCGCCCTTTTTTCCCCACAAATAGAGCTTTCTTTTGCTGGTATTTGATCACCTGTACTTTTTTCATTTTTTTTGCGCTATAAACAAAAAAAGACCGACAATTTTGAGAAAAAAATATATATATTTTTGACTTTTTGCTATTAAACATGTCCAATTAAAAAATTTAAAAAATCAAATTTTCATCATAAATTTAGGCCAAAATGTATTCTGCTAAAAATCCCAATACGTGTAAATGAATTGATTTAAGTGAAAGTTATAGTGTTTACAAATGGCGGTATATATACTGGAATTTGTACATTTATTTTTACTAGTAATGGCGGCGATCAGCGACTTACAGCAGGACTGCGGCAGGTATTCTGACACTGGGGGGGAAACTGACTTGGTGTCACTGACATCCCCAGTGACACCAATACAGCGATCAGTGGTAATAAAAAGCACTGACAGTGTACTAATGGCACTGGGCAGGAAGGGGTTAACATATGGGGTGATCAAAGGGTTAACTGTGTGCTGTTTTACTAGGGGCTGTGTGTGTGCTTTCCACTATAAGCACACTGCTTTGTGTTAGTCTGCTATGCAGAGCCATACAAAGCAGTGTGCAGGAGCACAGGGAAGAGATCTGTACACAGGGCTCTCCCCTGTCAGAGATACTCAGATACTTGACCATCACTGGGTGCCAGCATGTAATCACCAGCCAGGACCCGGTGCTTGACAGTCGAGGTCGTGAATGGTGGCGCGGGTAGGGTGCATGCGCGCCCCCTACCTGGAATGGCAAAATCACACACATATATATATATATATATATATATATATATATATATATATATATATATACACACACACACATGATTTTGCTGACCCGTGCCGTCCTGCAGCAGTATTTCTGCTATAGGGTGGTGCGGAACCGGTTAATCAGCCATGACAGTTGAAATGCGTTGGATGTTTTTTTTTCAGCTGTATTTTATTGTCTATTAAAGGAAGTCCCTTTCTGCTGCTATAATGGAGTAGCAGCTTTTTCTTGCATGTATCCACATCGATTGTGTGGATGGGGAAATCAAGTCAGTCTTTTCTTTCAACTTACTGCTTGAACGAAAACAAAATGACTCATCTATGGGCAGCTTTACACATTATATATATTGAAAGCACCTGTAGCAAGCCATGGACATCAGACCCCCCTGCTCCCCCCAAAAAAAAAGTCTTTTAAGAATGAAGGCAACACGTTTTGAGGGTTATATGAGAGTCTACCATCATCAGGGCTAGAATACAGAAAAAAAAAATGTACCATTCTTGGGGTTGGCCCCCCACTTTTTTTATGTTTAGATCAGAGGTCTCCAAACTACTCCCCATGGGCCACATCAGGCTACAAAATGATATCTGGGTCTTGGCAAAGGTCAACGTCTTCAGCGTGCAAGGATTGAGGATCCAGGCCACAGAGGCTGCCTATGGTCTCTGCTTCTCCCCACTGGCCACCTACCTGAACCAAAAGGCTGCAGGAACCACGTCCTCCCACCATAGCCGGACTGACTGCTCGATGGCTGGGTGGGGTTGATGGCTCGACTGGTTTTTACATCCCCTTTCTTGTCATCGGAGGTGGGCATAATCACTACAGGGATGAGGGTGCACTGATCGAGGGTCCCATCTGAAGACATCACCTCCGTGTAACCGTCTTCACAGCCGCAGGATCTCGTCTACGAAAAGAGAGAGGCAAGTTCAATCTTCAGAATGTGTGTTCAATGGCTGCTACTGAATCCACTCCATTATATTACTAGAAGGGTAATGATATTATTAGTATCGCTGCTAATTATAGCAAGAACATTGTGCGCTATAAATAGAATCTCTCACCTTGTGCTGCAATATCAGGACACTCATCGACACCCCAGGAGCGAACAAGTGAGATGTGATACAGATTTGTCTGACAGCTTGTTTCCCTGAGTCCATTCATGCCCTGATAACTATTCCAAGCCAGGGGCAGACTGACCATTTGGAAACTCGGGCACTGCCTGAGGGCCCAGGGTCAGTTGGGGGACCCATGAGATGCCCCTGGTACCTTTTTCATAGGCTTTTTTGAGTTTGGGCAAGGACACAGGGGCCCCATGATCCCCTATTGCCCGGGGGCCCCATGAGTTGTCAGTCCGCCCCTGTTCCAAGCCCTGATGAAGGCGTGCCTAGGCCCCCCCAATGTGTTGGCTTTTCTATGAGATCGTATGATGAATCCATAGAAAGGACGGTACTTCCATTTAATGAGAAGCATCCCTTGTGCTGGTGGCTGCTGTCTTAGTTGAAATCTTCCATCATGCCCTCCACACCTCGGACACCCCCTGCAGCAGTAAATATTCGGTGCTGAAAGGGTTAATACAGCCGCTCATCAAGAGTGCGCACCCTGCCCACCCTTTCTGGCACCCTCCTCTATTCACAGAAGCCAAACTATAGCTTCTATAAATGAAAAGAGCTTTATGAATGGAGAATGGGTGGATGAATGAATTGTCAGACTCCTCCATTCATTGAGCACTTTTCATTTAGGGAAGCTACAGTAAAAAAAGAAAAAAAAAAGAAAAGTAATTTGCAGTTTTCAAGAGTGCCCACTAAGCCCGCCCTTTCCTCCCCCTCCTCCATTCATAGAAACTGAATGGAGGAGGCAGACCTTTCATTCATCCACCTATCCTATATTCATAAAGTGCTTTCCATTGAAGCTATGGTACAGCCCACTAAGCCAGCCCTTTCCTCCCCTCCTCCATTCATAGAAACTGTGCTATAGCTTCTATCAATGAAAAGCACTTAATGAATGGAGGTGGGGGGAGGTCTGCCTCCTCTATTCGTTGAGCACTTTTCACTGACAGAAGCAATAGCTACAGTTTAGAAGGGTCCTTGGCACTCATTAAGAGTGTCAACCATGCCCGCCCTTTCTGCCCCCCTACTCTATTCATAGAAGCTGTACCATAGCTTCAATGGAAAGCACTAAATGAATATAGGATAAGTGGATGAATGAAAGGTCTTCCTCCTCCATTCACTGAGTACTTTTCATTGATGGAAGCTATAGCTACAGTATAGACCTGTCATTGGCACTCATTAAGAGTGCCAACTATGCCCGCCCTTTCTGCCCCCGCCCCATCTCCATTCATAGAAGCTGTACCATAGCTTCAGTGGAAAGCATTTTATGAATATAGGATAGGTGGGTGAATTAAAGGTCTGCCTCCTCCATTCACTGAGCACTCTTCATTGAAGGACGCTATATTATCTATTTATTACAGGTACTTATATAGCACCATCAATTTACGCAGCGCGCTTTACATATATAAAATATAAAATGACTTCTTCATCACGACCAACAACGCCACCATCAGACCCTCCCCTCAAGCCAGAGTACTAGGTGTTATCCTAGACTCCAATCTGTCTGTCCAGCCCCAGGTCCAATCACTGACAAACTCATGTAGACTCCACCTCCTCAACATCTCCAAGATACGTCCATTCCTAACCCCGGAAACCACTAAGCAACTTATCCACTCCCTTGTTATATCTCGCCTCAACTATTGTAACTCCCTCCTCACCAGCTTACCTCACCACAGGCTATCCCCTCTTCAGTCTATCCTGAATACTGCAGCCACCTTACTAACCGCTCCGTATCCGCCACCCCCCTCTGCCAATCCCTCCTCTGGCTTCCGATTGCCCAACAGATAAAATTCAAAATGCTAACATTGACGTATAAAGCTGTTCATAATACTGCCCCAAACTACATCACCGATCTGGTATCCAAATACCACCCAAAACGCACTCTCCGTTCCTCACAAGACCTCCTTCTCTCTAGTTCCCTGATCTCCTCCTCCCATGCCCATCTCCAGGACTTCCCCAGGGCTTCCCCCATCCTCTGGAACTCCCTACCCCAATCCATCAGACTATCACCTACTCTCCTCACCTTTAGGCGCACCCTGAAAACCCATCTCTTCAGGGAAGCCTACCCCACCCTCAGCTAATTACTCCTCCACTCTTCCTATCACTCCATCCCCCACAGCTATTTCCTCCTATACTACTATCCCCTCCCTCCTAGATTGTAAGCTCCAAGGAGCAGGGCGCTCGAACCCCTCATGTATTGAATCGTATTGTTACTGTATTGTCTCCAATTATAATGTACAGCGCTGAGCAAACTGTTGGCGCTATATAAATCCTGTATAATAATAATATATATTGTACATTCACATCAGTCCCTAACCCTCAAGGGGTGTACAATCTAAGGTCCCTAACTCACATTCATACATACACATACTAGGGACAATTTAGACAGGAGACAATTACCTACCAGCATGTCTTTGGAGTGTTGGAGGAAACCATAGTCCCTGGAGGAAACCCACGCAGGCACAGGGAGAACATGCAAACTCCAGGAAGGTGGTGCCGTGGTTGGGTACAGCATCTTTGAATGGAGGAGGGGAGTGGAAAGGGCAGGCAGTGTCAGTACTCTTGGTGAGTGCCTACAACAGGTCCAGTAACCGTAGTAAAGTGGATGGAACCCGCTGCGGGGTGGGGCACAGGATGGAAGATTTCAACTAGGACAGCCGGCAGCAGCACAAGGCACACTTCTCCTTCAATGTAAGTCATGTCCCTTGTGCTGATTTTTTTTTTTAAATATTACTAAACTTAAGCTTTAATGCTACTTGGACTCTTCCATCATTTGGTTTGGCACTCCTCTGTGTCACATTGTGGGGACCCTTTTTTTTTGAGGGGGGGGGTGGGTTTAAAACCTCTGTCAAGTTTTACTGGGGCAATCCTCTTCACTTTCTTTGCCATTCCTGGAACAAGAAGTGAAAGCAAATCTTTTCACTAACAGCAATAAAAAATAGGGAGCCAAACAAAAGGTCTGAGAGTCAAAAAGCTTTTAATATTGATATTCGCTCACAAGGAGACAATACAGGACATCCAACGCGTTTCGGGGATTCTACAAATGTTCCCCTTCTTCAAAGCTTGAATGTGATGGAGAGATTGAAGGACTCTAAAGTGCCATCATCCCCAAGATTTTATTGTTTGTTGCATTAAAACAACTGTATGAATGGAGGATGGACAGATGAAGGGCAGCACAGTGGCTAAATGATTAGCACTTCCGCCTGGCAGTACTAGGGTTGATGGTTCGAATCCCAACCACGGCACCACCTGCCTGGAGTTTGCATGTTCTCCCTGTGCCTGCGTGGGTTTCCTCCGGTTTGCTCCCACACTCCAAAGACATGCTGGTAATATAATTGGATCCTGTCTAAATTGTCCCTAGTATGTGTATGTATGAATGTGAGTTAGGGACCTTAGATTGTACGCCCCTTGAGGGTCAGGGACTGATGTGAATGTACAATATATATGTAAAGCGTAAATTGACAGCAGTATATAAGTACCTGAAATAAATAAATGAATGAATGAAGGAAAGGCCCTCCTCTGTTCATTGAGCACTCTTCATTGATGGAAGCTATAGTACAGCTTCTATGAATGGAGGTGCTTTTATCAGTGAAAATCCCTCTATGAATGGAAGACACCAAGATGAATAAAAGGTGTGCCTCCTCCATTCATAGAGCACTTTTTATTAAAGGAAACTATAGCTATATTACAGACCTGTTATTGGCACTCATCAAGAAACCCCACTATGGTCACCCTTCCCGCCCCGCTCCTCTATTCATAGAAGCCATACTATAGCTTTCACCAGTGAAAAGAGCTCTATGAATGGACAACAGGAGGATGAAGGAGCTCTGCCTCCTTCAATCATAAAAAATGTTTTCATGAAAGCTATAGTACAGATTCTATGAATAGAGGAGCTTTCATTAGTGAAAAAAACTCCATGAATGGAAGACACATAGAAAAAAGGTGTGCCTCCCCCATTCATAGAGCAAGCTATAGCTCAGTATAGGTATTGGCACTCATCAATAAACCTCACTATGATTGCCCTTCCCATCCCTCTCCTCTATTCATAGAAGCCATACTATAGCTTTCACCAGTGTAAAGTGCTCTATGGAAGGAGAACAGGAGGATGAATAAAAGGTCTGCCTCCTCCAATCATAAAACAAAAAACTTTTCATGAATGGAAGATATAGTACAGCTTCTATGAACAGAGGAGCTTTCAACAGTGAAAAGCACTCTATGAATGGAGGATGGTCAGATGAAAGAAAGGCCCTCCTCCTCTATTCATTGAGCACTCTTCATTGATGGAAGCTATAGTACAGCTTCTATGAATGGAGGAGCTTTAATCAGTGAAAAGCCCTCTATGAATGGAAGACACATAGATGAATGAAAGGTGTGCCTCCTCCATTCATAGAGCACTTTTTATTAAAGGAAGCTATAGCTACAGTATAGACCTGTTTATTGGCACTCATCAATAAACCCCACTATGGTCACCCTTCTCACCCCTCTCCTCTATTCATAGAAGCCATACTATAGCTTTCACCAGTGAAAAGTGCTCTATGAATGGACAACAGGAGGATTAATGAAAGGTCTGCCTCCTCCAATCATAAAAAATGTTTTCATGAATGAAAGATATAGTACAGCTTCTATGAACAGAGGAGCTTTCATCAGTGAAAAAAAACTCCATGAATGGAAGACACATAGATAATTAAAAGGTCTGCCTCCCCCATTCATAGAGCACTTTTTATTAAAAGGAAGCTATAGCTACAGTATAGGTAAGTTATTGGCACTCGTCAATAAACCCCACTATGATCGCCCTTCCCGTCCCTCTCCTCTATTCATAGAAGCCATACTATAGCTTTCACCAGTGAAAAGTGCTCTATGGAAGGAGAACAGGAGGATGAATAAAAGGTCTGCCTCCTCCAATCACAAAAGAAAAAACTTTTCATGAATGGAAGATATAGTACAGCTTCTATGAACAGAGGAGCTTTCATTAGTGAAAAGCACTCTATGAATGGAAGACACACAGATGAATGAAAGGTGTGCCTCCTCCATTCATAGAGCACTTTTTATTAAAGGAAGCTATAGCTACAGTATAGACCTGTTATTGACACTCATCAAGAAACCCCACTATGGTCACCCTTCCCGCCCCCCTCTCCTCTATTCATAGAAGCCATACTATAGCTTTCACCAGTGAAAAGTGCTCTATGAATGGACAACAGGAGGATTAATGAAAGGTGTGCCTCCTCCAATCGTAAAAAACATTTTTATGAATGAAAGATATAGTACAGCTTCTATGAACAGTGGATCTTTCATTAGTGAAAACCACCCTATGAATGGAAGACACACAGATGAATGAAAGGTCTGCCTCCCCCATTCATAGAACACTTTTTATTGATGAAAGCTATAGCTACAGTATAGAAACCCCACTATGATTGCCCTCCCCCCCTCCTCTATTCACAGAAACCATACTATAGCTTCCATCAGTGAAACGTGTTCGATGAATGGACAACAGGAGGATGAATGAAAGATCTGCCTCCCCCATTCATAGAGCACTTTTTATTGATGAAAGCTATAGCTACAGAATAGAAACCCCACTATGATTGCCCTTCCCCCCTCCTCTATTCATAGAAGCCATACTATAACTTCCATCAGTGAAAAGTGTTCGATGAATGGACAACAGGAGGATGAATGAAACGTCTGCCTCCTCCATTCATCAAAAAACATTTCATGAATGGAGGAGGGGGCAGGAAGGGTGAGCATAGTGGGCACTCTTGACAAGTACCAATGACAGGTCTATACTGTACCTATAACTTACATCAATGAAAAGCTCTTTATGAATGGAGGAGGTTGACCTTTCATTCATCCACCTGTCCGTATGGGTAGGTGGGCATCAGCATTGTCATGGCAATAAAAACCTGACAGGTGTTCTCTCTTTTCTCCACTGGATTTTATTGCATCCTGTACCTCTAATGGGGTATTTCTGCTTACTTCCTGTTCTGGGGACACAACAGGAAGTGAAGAAAAACTTCCCAAATGGGGATACAGTAAAAAAAAAATTGGGGATTCCCCAAAACTACAACACGAGTTCTACTTGAACAGCAGAATGCAGACACTTCTAGCCATTAATCACTTACAGGGGCCCTTGCTGCATATGTTTCTCTGCCGTTATTATAATTGACTCATATTAATGACATTCCTTACATAGTTTAACGTTTTGTTTTTTTGCTTTTTAATTTCAGTTTTCATGACGTAAAAATGCAAACCTCACCGGGAGCTCCACAGACAGCAGGAGGCTAATAGGCAAAGTGATAAAACAACAGTGAAACTCGCAGTAAAGTAATTACACAACTTTGTACAAATGGAGACTTCAGCAGCGACAGAGACAAGCCATCGATCATACTTATAGGACAATTAGGAGGAAGTCGTTCTTCAGGCGGGCGCTCTCCGTGTTATGGATGAGGCGGGAAATGTAGTGGAACCGCTGCATAATGACATGTGATCTCCCCCCGATGGCGGCACTTACCTCCGTGCAGTAGGAGTGTGGCTGCGTGCATGGCGGAGTACACGTCCTTTCGCTTTCCGGTTTAAGGACTTCAAAACAACCTCCTGAAGGACAGAAACCATGAGAAAGGTATTTAAATGGTTGTGAACCTAAGTCATGGAATGTGAACAAAGCTTATCCTCTATAGTGTGTACTTGTCTCAATCCAGAGCACTAAGTGTCATTTCTTTCTGCTGCTTGTTCCTTGCTATCAGCATGAGTCACTTTTGACAAGTTTTCCTGACACCAAGAGAAAAAAAGGTGACAAGGGAGGGAGCTCCAGCATACAGCCTGTGATTGACAGTCTCAGCTCTTGTGACCATAATATAGTAATAAAATAGTATAGTCTCAGCTCTGTTCCTGTGTGCTGTGTGAAGGGGGGGGGGTGTCCCTTCCCTCCAATCAACTCTGTTGATTGTGATTGTTGATTGTGTGGCTGAGTGCATGGCGGGGTACACGTCCTTTGGCTTTCCGGTTTAAGGACTTCAAAACAACCTCCTGAAGGACAGAAACCATGAGAAAGATATTTAAACTGGTTGTGAACCTAAGTCATGGAATGTGAACAAAGCTTATCCCTCTATAGTGTGGACTTGTCTCAATCCAGAGCACTAAGTGTCATTTCTTTCTGCTGCCTTGTTCCTTGCTATCAGCATGAGTCACTTTGACAAGTTTTCCTGACACCAAGAGAAAAAAAGGTGACAGGGGAGGGAGCTCCAGCATACAGCCTGTGATTGACAGTCTCAGCTCTGTTTCCTGTGTGCTGTATGAAGGGGGGTGTGTGCGTGAAGGGGGGGGGGGTGTCCCTTCCCTCCAATCAACTCTCACTGAGCTCTGCAGAGTGAAAGTTCAGTTGCCCACCCCCTGCTTTTCAGGGCTGAGAAATGCTGTGTAAATTCTGGACTTTGAACAGATGTAGAGGGGAGAGGGCTGAAGATAAGCAGGTACAACTTTTGTAGGATTTATTTCATCTCTGTGTATCACCTGAGGCCGGTCACTTCGCTGGGTATATGGAAGAGTTTACAAGCTAATCTAAGCTTGCACTCCTGATCTGCACATTGTTCATAGACAATGAGCCAAAAAGTAGATGGAACTAGAGCAGTGTTTCTCAACCTTTTTTCAGTCAAGGCACCTTTAAAATTATGGACAGTCAAGGCACCCTTTAAAATTATGGACAGTCCTGAGGCACCCTTTAAAATTATGGACAGTTTTGAGGCACCCTTTAAAATTATGGACAGTCCTGAGGCACCCTTTAAAATCATGGACAGTCTTGAGGCACCCTTTAAAATTATGTCCTTATGGAGAGGCACCCTTTAAAATTATGGACAGTCTTGAGGCACCCTTTAAAATTATGGGACAGTCCTGAGGCACCCTTTAAAATTATGGACAAGGCACCCTTTAAAAATTATGGACAGTCCTGAGGCACCCTTTAAAATCATGGACAGTCTTGAGGCACCCTTTAAAATTATGGACAGTCCTGAGGCACCCTTTAAAATTATGGACAGTCCTGAGGCACCCTTTAAAATTATGGACAGTCTTGAGGCACCCTTTAAAATTATGAACAGTCTTGAGGCACCCCCCATTCTAAAATGTGAAAAACTATTCTAATAGTTTTATATAAAGCAACAACATCCACACATGTAGGACACCCAACATTGGAGGTGATTTATTCTTCCAAAGCAAACACTCCTTTGCGCACTGGTACAGACTAGTATTCCAATGTTTCTCTTCTCCCTCAGTTTTTCTCCATCACTGAGCTAATGTGACCCCAGCACTGCTGGAGAGGGGCAGGGGAGGGTCAAACTAGGAAGCTGAGCAGGCAGCTGACATCCTTCTTATCAACTGATGATGCCATTGGTTGTCAGGATGCCGGTGGCTATAAGGTCGTAATAGTGCCCAATGAAGACCTGTGGCTTTGTGTAACTAAAAGGGAGGCTTGTTCTACCCGCTGGCTTGTATACAAGTTTTGGATGATTTTTAGACATTTTGCCCAAGGCACCCCTGAAGAAACCTCAAGGCACCCCAGGTGCCTGGGCAGGTTGAGAAAGGCTGAACTAGAGGATCCTCACGATAGCCAGGCATCTTACATTTTCAGAATGAGAGGTCACCAAAAGAAGCCTATCACCATGCTACAAGTACTAATGTACCTCGTTTTTGCATTTTGTTAGGCCGGAAGCTTTTGTAAAACCCCCCAAACATTATACATTTTCTGAAGCAGACACCCTCGAGAATAAAATATTGCTATTCCCATTTTTTAGGTCACATGATATTAGCGCAATGGTTTATGAAACACAAAATTTCTGGTAAAGAATAAACTAAAGTAAACGACCCAATTTTTTTGGGTAGAATAAAAAGATGAGGTTACACCAAGTAAATAGATACCTAAGATGTCAAGCCCTAAAATTGTGAAACGGTGACAAACTTGAACTTTAGGTGGCTTGTTAAAAATGGAAAGTGAGATTTAGAAACAATTAAATGATAAAAACATATTAACCTGTCACATTGAGCCTGTCCGATCTCTGGCACCAAACTGCCCGGGAAGATGCTTTCCATGGACCCGTTAACCAATTGTATTCAAAACATTGTCCGTCTGCGCAGGAAAAAAAAGACAGAGCAGGATGGGTTAGTAATGTTAATAGAGATTATTGATATGTAGGTACTATGTTGGATTTCATGGAACCTCCCCAATACTAAATAAATATTCACTTGGCAAATTCTACCCTAAAATTAGTAAAATTCCCACTACAATCACCCCTGAAGAAAAGTAACACTTTCACCCTTCAAAGCAAATAATAATAATAATAATAATAATAAACCTTTTCCTTCACTTACACTCAAAATAAATAAATAACGTAATAAACCAAAAATAAATTAAAATAATTCAAAATAATTGAATATCCAAAAAAATGTCCAAAGTAATATCCGAAAAAATAAAATCAAATAAATAATAGTCCACCAAAAGTATCTCAATCCAGAGTGTTCAACTTTCAATTCTCACGTCGTGATACCTCGAAAAAAATATAAACTATAATAGTGCATTACCTTCTACCTCCCCAATAGTGTGCTTCAAATGAGTGGCGTCCCTAGCGGGGTGCGGGCCACACCGGGTGACACCATAACAGGGGGTGCAGGAGCAGGATGTCGTCACAGTGACAGCTGCCCCCGCCCCGGTGTAGCGGTAAAATGAGTATCCCCTGAAGCAACTGCGCATGTGTTGGTTTCAGGCCGATCTGTGCTAAAGTCGGAGATCGACTTCTTCAGCCTGAAACCAGCACATCCGCAGTTGCTTCAGGGGATACATATCTTCAAGGGATACTCATTTTACTGCTGCACCGGCACCGCTCCTTTCTCTTTGAAAGGGGTGACACCACGTTGTTACCGCACCGAGTGACACCAACCCTAGGGATGCCTCTGCTTCAAATAAAGTCATATGAACATAGTTACAAATGTTTCCAAATCTTGGGACTAATAATTTTTGTTTTAGCTCCTTGAAATCTAATTGTTTGCCCATCACTGAATAACACCATGATCCTAACATGTACAAAAACGTATTGAAGCTGTCCTGGTACATTCAAACCCCACCCATGCAGAGCAAAGCCCAACCCACTAGGCTCAACAATAGGCCCAAATCATGACATTTTTCTACTGCTCACATTGTCTGGTTGGTTATGTTACATTATGTCCACTAATGGTCTTGAACTTTCCAAAATATACAGTACTCATAAATGTTACGGCTCCTTTAGGTAAACTACTAATTTATGTTGTCTTATATTTAGACTTTCTAATGCCTTCTTGTAGTAATTTCAAATATTATAAATCTATAAAATATATGTATACTTTCTTGTATTATACACACTCTTACCAAGTGTCAGTGTACATACCGTGGCATGATTTGGACTCCAACATTTGTTCCGGGCAGAGATGTTGGTTTTCCAGTTCTTGAATAATTACTGCCCTTGAGCGCACCTTAACTCCACCAAATCCAAGATCCTGACCATTGACACAGGTCAGTTGGCACAAACTCCACTCCGACCAGTCATTCAAATAGCAGTCCCCTACAAGGTGAAAATAAAATGTTATAGTCCTACAGCAAGTGGTCTAATCACTGTAAACCTTTTAGAAAGTTGTCCTCTTGTGACTTTTTGGTAGGATTTCTTCACAAGACACAGATGCCGAAATTAGGTGCCTGTAGTCATTAGGTGACAGTCTCTAGATCTGGCTGTTGTTGTCAAGATTGGTTGCTTATCTTTTATCAAAGGGGCAGCCTTATGCTGGCCATAGATGGGTAGAATTTCAACCAAAAATTCTGGGATAAGAAGGTTCTTTGAAAGTTTGCTTGTATCTCTAATCATCAGTGGGTCAAATCAATGTTCGCTTTTGACCGCAGTGACGAGAAAATTTAAAGAAGCAGGACGGAAAATTTTTCCAAAATGTATGAATTACTAACTGGTGGTTTTTGTTCACTAAAGTCCATTAATTCCAAAATCAAATGTTAAAAGCAAACAAAATCTTTCGAGTGACTTTCGAATGTTCTGAGAAATTTTTGACGAAGACTTTTCCTAAGAATTTTCTTTCAAAGTTCAATCCATCTATGGCCAGCATAAGACTACCCCTTTGATAAAAGATATTCACCCAGTCTTGGCAAAAATAGCCAGATCTAGAGAGTGTCACCTAGGCACTCCTCTATGACCATTCTGTCTGTCGCTGCTCCCCCCCCCCCAAGATAAGTCACCGAAATTAGGTGCCTGTAGTCATTAGGTGACAGTCTCTAGATCTGGCTGTTGTTGCCAAGATTGGTTGATTATCTTTTATCAAAGGGGCAGCCTTATGCTGGCCATAGATGGGTAGAATTTCAACCAAAAAATTCTTGGGATAAGAAGGTTCTTTGAAAGTTTGCTTGTATCTCTAATCATCAGTGGGTCAAATCAATGTTCGCTTTTGACCGCAGTGACGAGAGAAAATTTAAAGAAGCAGGACGGAAAATTTTTCCAAATGTATGAATTACTAACTGGTGGTTTTTGTTCACTAAAGTCCATTAATTCCAAAATCAAATGTTAAAAGCAAACAAAATCTTTCGAGTGATTTTCGAATGTTCTGAAATTTTAGAGCCAGATTTTCTAGAGAGTGTCACCTAGGCACTCCTCTTTGTGAAAGATATTCATTTGGCTGTCTGTCACCTAGCTCCTCCCCCCCCCCCCCCCCAAGATAAGTCGTCACTGGGGCTGTCTGCTCCCTATGAAAAACCATGAAAAAAGAAAAAAAGCCATCCAAATTGATAGAAAAACTGTATCTCAGGATTATCCCCGACTCAATTATATAAGTGTGGATTATAAACCTAGTAATACTGGAAAAAAAAATTGTCAGTTGTTTAGTGCAGAGCTGCCTGGAAAGTGGTTAATTGAATCCTACGCGGAGCAGGGGAGGACTGACAACTCACGGGGCCCCCGGGCAATAGAGGATCATGGGGCCCCTGTGTCCTTGCCCAAAACTCAAAAAAGCCTATGAAAAAGGTACCAGGGGCATGTCATGGGGCCCCCTACTGACCCCGGGCCCTCGGGCAGTGCCCGAGTTTCCAAATGGTCAGTCTGCCTCTGACGCGGAGTAATATATCACTACAAATGTGAATGCGATTGTGTCTTTATTTGATCACTTATCAAGGATTTTAACATGATTGCAATATGTTCACCCTGTCAATGTCAACCTTTTTAATGATCTAAGTGATCAATTAAATACACAATCGTATTCACATTTGTAGTGATATATTACTCTGAGTAGGATTCAATTAAACACTTTCCAGGCGGCTCTGCACTAGTCAACTGCCAATTTTTGTTTTCCTTATGAGGAACACCTTCCTCTACTGTCTTCAAAGCAAATTCTAGCAAAAGTTTTGTATAATTTTCCCCTATTTAATCTAAGTGACAGCAAGCCAAAAAAGAAAGGAAACAGAGGTCACCAGAAAAGGAAGATGCAGACAACAGTCATGACATTATACTGTAGAGGTTCTACCTTTCACCACTCTTATAAATTGGTGAGTTTGGGTTTAAACAGGAATGCCTGTATAATCTCAATGTTCCAGCCAGTGGACATCATGAGATGGTTGGATCATGCTAGCATGTCAAGTTATTCTCTATTACTAAATTTGGTTAATTGACAAAAAACAGTATGTTTTATGAGCAGTACAAAAGAATCGGAGTTAACAACTCAAGAAAAATGCAAGCTCTTTAGTAGCATCAAACCCAGAACGGAAACCTGTAAAGCTGGCCATCAATGGTCCTAGCAAATGATGATTCTCATTTTGGGTTGCACTAGAAGCCTAAAACCCTTGGTGGTCAGAGGCTGGGAACTTTTTCGAGCTTGCTAGATGACAGCCCTGTACTTGCACAAGCGCATCATCCAGGTAGGATCCAGCTCCAACATCCATGTGCATGTCATCATACAAGTCCACAGTAATGGTGCTGAACCCTTTCAAAGTAGCAATTTTCTACTTATAAACCAAAGCAATCAACTGAAAACCGTGAACTGCCAACACATCCTGTAAAAAACAGTCTGCGGCAAGTCCAGCACTTGTAAAACTTTATTAATCAAGGACAGCTGCACAAAACCCCACCTAGAACTTCTTAGAGAAGTAGCTTGTCCTCCTATGATACAAATGTTACAAGTGTTGGACTTCACAATGTGCCACTGGCTGTTTTTCTTTGAAGATTTTTTAGCACAGTACAGAAAAGTTAGAATCTTTTTTTTTCTGTATACACTTTTCTGTTCTAGTGACCCCCCCTTTCCCATCATTTCGTGTCCTGGTGCCACTGAGAACGCGGTGGAGGAAAATCTCCCCGACAGAGTCGCAGATGTAATTGAAAGCCAGCAGGGATTCTAAGCCCCATCTACTGTATTCAACTAAACGAAAAAATAATTCTGTAAAGAAAACAAAACCTCAGCGCTCAGGACTTCCTATTTACCACACAAATCCCCGTGGGATGCTGCTGTGCACAGGTACAAAAGACCAAAAAAACTTTTAACAATGAAAACCAGCGCAAACCCACATGGTCAATTACATTACTCAGCTTTAAAAAAACATTACTGTGCTGATAAAGATATATATAATAAATTATATATAAATAAATTGATATATAAAAAAAAAATATATAAAAAATATATAAACATTAGAATCATAAGTCCAGTGACAAAAAAATCAAGTGACAAAAAATCAAAAAAATCCCAAAAAATATATATATATAATTACAGTCCCGTGAGAAAAATAAAACAAATTAAATTATAATTTTCATTTGGTTCTTCCGTGTTACTGATCCCTTCACCATGCACCAGTGCAGAAATCAACATTAGCCGCACTCACCAGATATTGGTGAGTCACACGCCTTTCAGGATTATTAAGGGCTCCTGGACCCCCTTTACTTTTTGTGAGACCTCCAAGTGCTGTTTCCTCCTATGTCTAGGTACCTCTTCTGCTTACTCCTCTCACCGAATCCCCCAAGGAAAATCAGGAAGAAGAAAAGACCATAGCGTGATACCGTAGTAATTTCTCCTCAAAATAATCTCTCAGACCACTCACATTCTTTTGCGGGATATAGCCCGCCTTTTATTCAAAAAAACAACAGTGATTTTCTTCCAAAATGATCCTTTTCATGTACACCGATTTTTGTAAAGAGACCCCACAGTTTAGTGTGCAGCAGGATGGCAGACCTCAGCTACAGACTCATCTACTATTTTTTTTATATTTTTTCATTTACATTTATTTTTATTGGTCTTTTCCCTTGTGTTTGGGGTTGAAGACTTAGGATTAAAACTATGTTTTTGAAGTAATGTATTTATTATAATGGTTTCTGTTGTAAAGGGACCCCACATGGGTATGCAGATGGATGGCGGTGATTGACATGCTTGTATCCAGGTTTTTGTGTCCAGAGTAATCAGTGGGAGGGATCTCCCAAAGCTTTATAAGCGGCTTGGAAGTGGTAATGAGCGTCTTGATAACGCCCTGTGGGTGGGGCGAAACGCGTTGACGCACTTCCGGTTGCCTGGTCCGTCGTCTGACGTCATTTCCGGTGAGTGGAGCGCACGCCGAGCGGTGCGTTCCAAGGGGCCATCCTAGCTTATAGATGAGTCTGTAGCTGAGGGTCTGCCATCCTGTGCACACTAAACTGTGGGGTCTCTTACAAAAATCGGTGTACATGAAAAGTGGATCATTTTGGAAGAAAACACTGTTGTTTTGAATAAAAGGCGGGCTATATCCCGCAAAAGAATGTGAGTGGTCTGGAGAGATTATTTTGAGGAGAAATTACTACGGTATCACGCTATGGTCTTTTCTCACTTCCTGATTTTCCTTGGGGGATTCGGTGAGAGGAGTAAGCAGAAGAGGTACCTAGACATAGGAGGAAACAGCACTTGGAGGTCTCACAAAAAGTAAAGGGGGTCCAGGAGCCCTTAATAATCCTGAAAGGCGTGTGACTCACCAATATCTGGTGAGTGCGGCTAATGTTGATTCTGCACTGGTGCATGGTGAGGGATCAGTAACACGGAAGAACCAAATGAAAAAATTATAATTTAATTTGTTTTATTTTTGTCACGGGACTGTAATTATATTATATATATTTTTTGGGATTTTTTTGATTTTGTCACTTGATTTTTTTGTCACTGGACTTATTGATTCTAATGTTTATATATTTTTTATATATATATTTTTATATATCAATTTATTTATATATATATAATTTATTATATATATATCTTTATCAGCCTAATGTTTTTTTAAAGCTGAGTAATGTAATTGACCATGTGGGTTTGCGCTGGTTTTCATTTTGTTAAAAGAAAAAATAATTCTGTCTGACATTCAGCTCTATTCTGATTGGTCTCTATGAGAAATACACACACTGTCCACCTCTCTATACATACCTGGGCATGGTACGATACAGGACTCTTCCAGTACAATGTTCTTATCACCATTGACAATAAGGTCAATGTCTCCACAAAACTCCTCATCCACCATTTTTCCTGAGTCTTCTGTAGTGCCATCATAAACCACACAGGACATATTCCTGAACCGGGTGCCTTCACCACACTGGCGTCCTGTTGAAGACAGAAAGGTTTTATATTATATAATTTACAGTTTTTATATTCTTTATTCCCTGTTCCTCGCCATCTTGGATGTGATGTCAGCAGAACCAGCAGATTCACAGTTGTCACTCAAGTGGTCACTCTATAGCAGGGGTGTCAAAAAAATCCAGCTGTTGCCAAACTACAAATCCCATCATGCCTGCCTTTGGGAGTCATACTGTCAATCTTGCAATGCTTATGGGACTTGTAGTTTGGCTTTTTTGTAGTTCTGGGGGAGGAGCAAAGGAGAATACTATTTTTAAACAAGGACTAGTTTACTGTTCTGTTCAGACTTTAGGGGGGCTGGACTGTGGTCAGTGAGAGTAAAAATAGTATTATTTATACTACTGTATAAAGCTCTATAGTATTGGTCTCCAAACTGAGGCCAGTGGGCCAGATGCTGCCCTTTGCATGCCTTTATCAGGTCCTTGGGAATTCCTATCACAGATATGAGGTGCTATTCCTCCCACTGATATGGACGAAGGAGCACTATTCTTTCCACTGACACCAATGATGGGGAACTATTCCTCCCACTGATACCAATGATGGGGCACTATTCCTTCCACTGATACCAATGATGGGGCACTATTCCTCCAACTGATACCAATGATGGGACACTATTCCTCCCACTGATACCAATGATGGGGCACTATTCCTCCCACTGATGCCAATGATGGGGCACTATTCCTCCCACTGATACCAATGATGGGGCACTATTCCTCCCACTATTACCAATGATGGGGCACTATTCCTCCCACTGACACCAATGATGGGGCACTATTCCTCCCACTGATACCAATGATGGGGCACTATTCCTCCCACTGACACCAATGATGGGGCACTATTCCTCCACTGACACCAATGATGGGGCACTATTCCTCCCACTGACACCAATGATGGGGCACTATTCCTCCCACTAACACCAATGATGGGGGACTATTCCTTACACTGACATGAATGATGGAGAATTATTACTTCCACTGAAACCAATGACAGGACCCTATTCCTCCCACTGATACCAATGATAGAGCACTATTCCTCCCACTGATACCAATGATGGGGCACTATTCCTCCCACTGATACCAATGATGGGGCACTATTCCTCCCACGGATACCAAAGATGGGGCACTTTTCCTCCCCACTATTACCAATGATGGGGCACTATTCCTCCCACTGACACCAATGATGGGGGACTATTCCTTCCACTGACACCAATGATGGGGGACTATTTCTTCCACTGACAGCAGCATTGAGGCACTATCCCTCCCACTGACACCAATGATGGGGCCTTATTCCTCCACCAATGAAAAGGCATTATTCCTATCACTAATACCCGTTCTGGGTATTCCTCATTCTACTGAACACAGGCGCTATGTAATTATTTTTACTCCCACTGACCATAGTCCAGCCCCCCTTAAGTCTGAACAGAACAGTTAACTGGTCCTTTTTTTAGAAATCGTATTTTCCTTTGCTTCTCCCTCAGAAGTTACATAAAGGTTATGTAGGGAGGAAAGGGGAGGGGCAGAGGAGCTGAGCCAGCACATAGCATAATTAGCCACTCCCAGAAAAGTACATGGATGTGACATACAAGGAGGGAAGGGTTTGTGTTATGGAATTAACTCTTCCTGGAGTGGTCAGAATTTTAAGCAAATTTAAAAGTACATTGCAAGCGAACAAAAATGGTTTATGAAAAGGAAAACCATTTGAAACACCCAATTCTTCTTTTCATTTATCTAAAAATGATGAAGTTGGTCACCCAAACCAGCAGCTGAACATCACTGACTTCTTATTGACAACATATCAAATCCAGATTTGAAATCACTGCCCCAAGTCTGCATGAACAGACCTTATATATTCACAAGCCCTGATGAAGGGGCAGGGGCGGACTGACAACTCATGGGGCCCCCGGGCAATAGGGGATCATGGGGCCCCTGTGTCCTTGCCCAAACTCAAAAAAGCCTATGAAAAAGGTACCAGGGGCATCTCATGGGGCCCCCTACTGACCCCGGGCCCGAGTTTCCAAATGGTCAGTCCGCCCCTGTGAAGGGGGCATTGTGTGACACCCCCCCCCCCCCCCCCCGAAAACCCATTAGCTCTCATACCCAATTAATGTTTGGAATAAAACCTTACTTTGGAATATATTATTCACTGTGGCCCTTTAATTTCAGATTTAAATATTCACATTGCAAATCTATTGTGACAGTTCCATGGTGCAAGGATGCTACTGTCCCACCAAAAAAGATACCCCACATGGGCATCAGCAACACAGTATTAACCTCTTGAGCACCAGAAGGTTTTACCCTTTTCATGACCAGACCATTTTTTTGCTATTCAGCACTGTGCTACTTTAACTCGCTCAGTCATGAAACCCTGTACCCAATTGAAATTTATATCATTTTTTTTCACATAGATAGAGCTTTCTTTTGGTGGTATTGGATCACCACTGGGTTTTTTTTATTATATATAAAAAAAAAAAGACTGAAAATGTTGGAAAAAAAAAAAACCCTATATTTTCTACTTTCTGTTATAAAACATATCCAATATAACAAAAATCGAATTTCTTCAGAAATGTAGGCCAAAATGTATTCTGCTACTTGTCCTTGGTAAAAAAAATCCCAATAAGTGTATATTAATTGGTTTGTGTGAAAGTTATAGGTTCAAAAAACTATGGGCTATATACTGGAAATTACACAGCTACAGACTACATGGCGGTGATCAATGACTTATGGTGTCACTGTGATAGTGTGGCGGGCAATCTGGCGCTAACAAACATTGACTGGGAGGGACACAAACTGACATCATTAGTGACACTAATAAAGTTTTCAGTGATAATACTGTGCACTGTACTAATGACACTGGCTGTGGAGGGGAAATCAAGGGGTTACCTGCATGCCTAACAAGTGTTTTGTGTGTGCTGTGTGCCATGTTACTTACTGATCTGGCTGTTTTTCCTCCCTGCTTTTCAGGAAGAAGAAACAGCCAGATCGCTGTTCTCTGTACAAAGAGTTCTGTGTGCTTGTAAACACAGAACTAGGTGTGTGATTGGACACAGCCGATCAGCAGGTTTCAGCTAAAATCATTGGCTGAAAGCAAGCCGGCAATGTACATGTATGTTGCCGAGCCTGCACCTGTTGACTGGTACTGCACAGATTAATGCATGATCTCTGTCTGTAGTCCAAGAACTGACACTACCTGTGAAGAAACAATATATCCCACAATCCCTGTGTCTCTCAGTCAAGTGTTATGTAGGTGAAAGCTACATAATATCTGGATCTGACACAGACACAAACAGGTAGAGCAATGAAAGGAAGAGATGTGTTTCATCTCATTAGCATGACCTCATTTGTAACGCAACACAGAGGAAATGGAAAGGTAAGAATTGGATGCTGCATGACCAAGAACAAGAAGTTGCCTGACCCTTTGGCTAACAGGGACAAGCTAGGTGAATGAATATATGGACATAGGGGAATTGATCAGCTATGACACTACAAACTGCAGCAGCAACTTGTGAGCCCATCATTACAAGTAAGGCTAGCAAAGGACAAAGGGAATATAACTACACTAATACCTAGTGAAACCAAACAAACACATTTGAAAGTGTACAATGCCTTAAAGCAGGGGTAGGCAGCCTTAACCACTTGAGCTCCTGAGGATTTACCCCCCTTAATGACCAGGCCTCGTTTTGCTACTCGGCGCTACACTAATTCAACTGATCATGCAATGCTGTCATGCAATGCTGCACCCAAACAAAATTTACGTCCTTTTTTTCATACAAATAGAGCTTTCTTTCGGTGTAATTTGATCACCTGTGCGCTTTTTATTTTTCACGCTATAAACAAAAAAAGGCCAAAAATTTTGAAGAAAAACAATACTTTTTACTTTCAGCTATAAAAAAATATATAGTAAACTCAAAGTTGGTTATAAATTTAGGCCAAAATGTATTCTGCTACATGTTTTTGGTAAAAAAAATCCCAATAAGTGTATATTGATTGCTTTGTGTGAAAGTTATAGCGTCTACAAACTATGGTATAGATACTGCAATTTACGCCATTTTACTGCTATACAGCGCTGCGCTAGTTTAACGGACAATTGCGCGGTCATGCAATACGGTACATAAATGAAATTTACATCCATTTTTTCCCACAAATTGAGCTTTCTTTTGGTGGTATTTGATTGCCTGTGCGGTTTTTATTTTTTGCGCTATAAAAAAAAAGGCTGACAATTTTGAGGAAAAAAAACAATATTTTGGACTTTTTGCTATAAAACATGTCCAGTAAAAAAAAAAAAATGCAAAAATCAAACTTAGTCATAAATTTCTGCCAAAATGCATTCTGCGACATGTCTTTGCTAAAAAAAATCCCAATACGTGTAAATTAATTGGTTTACGTGAAAGTTATAGTGTTTACAAATGGCGGGAAAGATACTGGGATTTTTAATTTTTATTTATACTAATAATGGCGCCGATCAGCGACTTTTGGCGGCAATCAGCGACATATGGCGGTGACCAGCGACTTATGGCAGGACTGCGGGACTGCAGAGGACATTTTGACACTGGGGGGGGGGAACTGACTTGGGGTCACTGACATCCCCAGTGACACCAATACAGTGATCAGTGAAAAAAAACCACTGAAACGGTACTAATGTGTAAACAATGCAGCCCTGCTCTGTGTCAGCGATCACCGTCAATCGCGGGAAAACGGCCGGTAAAAACCGGCCGTGACCCGGCGGCTGACACCCGCTGCTGACACCCGCGGGACAGGTAGGGCGGGCACGCGCCCCCTACCTGTTTTGAAGGCAGCCGTTTTAAAACGTGCTTTTACCTACGAGTGCCGCCCTGCCGCCGTTTATATGCGGTGGCTGGGCGGCAAAGATCACCGGGCACAGTGTTGCTTCCTCACAAGTGATTTAAACCTCTAATTGCCGTACTACCGTGTCACAATCGCGTGCATTGCACGGCAATCAGGGGTTCAAAT